AAACCCTAGAAACCCAATCCTGAGAAACCCAATCCCGGAAACTCAAACCCTAGAAACCCAATCCTGAGAAACCCAATCCCAGAAACTCAAACCTCAGAAACTGAATCCCCAGAAAACCAATTCCCAGAAACCCAATTCTCCAGGCCACCCCAACCCATAGAAATGCCCCCAAATCCCCCGAAACCACTCAAATGCAGACACCCCCAAGGCACAAACCTGCAAACCCCTAGAAAGCCCCAAATTCTGTGAAAATCCTCAAGCACCCAGGACCTCACCCCTATCCCCCAGAAACGCTCAAGGCCCAGAACCCCCTCAACCCTCAGAAATGTCCCCAGTCCTCACAAAGTGCCTCACCCCAGCTGAACACTTCCTGTTTTTCACAGAACTGACTTGGCAAAGAAGGTGGCCATTCAGTCCATCATGCCTAGCCTGGTTCTATCCCCCTGGTGCTAATCTCCTGCCTTTTCTCCATATCCCTGCACACCATTTCTATCCAAATAACCACCCAATGCCCCTCTTGAAGCCTCAATTCAATCTGCCTTCCCCACATTTCTAAATAAACATTTTCCCCACATCACCTTTGCTTCACATCATGTTAGATCTGTGCCCCTCTCATTCTTCTTCCCTTTACCAGAGGGAACAGCTTCTGCCTGTCTACTCTATCCAACCTATGCTCATGATTTTGAAAACCTCGAACAGATCTCCCTCTCAGCCTCCTTCTCTCCAAGGAGAACAGCCCCAAACCTCTCCAATCTGACCTCATGGTTTCTTGTTCCTGGAACCGTTCTTGTAAATCGCTTCTACCTCTCTCTGATGCATTGACATCTTTCCTATAATGTGGCACACATTGCTGTACAAAATATTCCAGCTGATGTCTAACAAGTGTCTTGTACAAGTTGAACATCACCTCCTTACTCTTGTACTCTGTGCCCCTATTAATAAAGCTGAGGACCTGCCTGTTTATTAACTGCTCTGTCTATCTGCCCTGCCACCTTCAATGGTTTGTACACATTCACAGCCAGGTCCCTCTGCTCCTGCAGCCCCTTTAGAATTGTACCCTCTGTTCTCCCACCAAAGTGCATCATCTCACATTTCTCGACATTG